CCCTGACGCCACTGAGATCCCTCGCTGGGGAGAGCTGTCTAGGGCGGGGGTTGCTATCTTTGATCTTGATTATGATGCTATTCTTGCTGCCATGTATGCTGTGTCTGATGGTGTTGAGGGTGACTGTTACCTGTGTGTTCCGCCTGACCCGGGCATTGAGGCTGCTGCTCTAGGTGCTGGTGAGGCTGCTGCTCTAGGTGCTAGTGCGTCTGGTGCCCCTAGTGCTGGTGAGTCTGCCCTCTCAGGTACTACGTCGGCTCAGGCCTTACACACCTTCACCCTTGACTCGGGTGCTTCCCGCTCCTTCTTTCGAGACCGCACCACGCTTACGCCGCTTAGTCGGCCGGTTGCGGTCTCCCTGGCGGACCCCTCTGGGCGTCCTGTCCTTGCTAGCTTCTCCACTGTCTTACCGTGCCCGGCAGCCCCCTCTGGCACCCTGTCAGGTCTCTACCTCCCCTCGTTCTCTACAAACTTGGTGAGTGGAGCTGATCTACAGGATAGGGGGGTTGACCAGTTCACTCCTGCGAGTCAGCGGGTGACCCACTGCACGTGTGCTCGGACAGGCCGACACTTGGCCACGTTCACCCGTCGGCCGGGGTCGAGCCTGTACACACTTACTACCGAGTCTCCTCCGGCTGCTGAGTCTGGTCAGGTAGCTGCATCGGGTCAGGTGTTTGCTGCAGCGTCCAGGTGTGGTCCTGAGTCTGCTCCCTGTTCGTGTCGTCTCCTGTCCCACCAGACTCTCCTTTGGCACCACCGCCTTGGTCACCCCTCCCTGCCTCGTCTCCGAGGCATGGCCTCGCGTGTCCTTGTCTCTGGTCTCCCTCGGTCTCTCCCTCCCCTACCTCCGGGGCCTGCCCCTACCTGCGTCCCCTGTGTCGAGGGGCGACAGCGCGCCGCCCGTCACTCCTCCGAGTTTCCTCCGACAGAGGCTCCGCTGCAGACTCTTCACATGGACGTGTGGGGCCCCGCCCGCGTCCGTGGCCAGGGTCACGAGCGTTACTTCCTGTTGGTGGTTGACGACTACTCGCGTTACACCACGGTCTTCCCCTTGCGCAGCAAGGGTGACGTCACTGAGGTGTTGATCGACTGGATCTGCGCAGCTCGTCTCCAGCTCAGAGAGAGTTTCGGCTCGGACTTTCCTGTTCTGCGTCTGCACTCTCACAGAGGCGGGGAGTTTTCCTCTGCCCGTCTGGGAGCCTTCTGTCGAGCACAGGGCATCCGCCAGACCTTCACGCTTTTGGCCTCTCCACAGCAAAATGGGATTGCTGAGCGCCGCATTGGCATGGTCATGGACGTCGCTCGTACGTCCATGATCCATGCGGCTGCCCCCCATTTTCTATGGCCGTTTGCGGTTCAGTACGCAGCGCATCAGCTCAACCTTCAGCCCCGGGTCTCCTTGCCAGAGACCTCCCCCACCTTGCGGTGGACGGGGAAGGTTGGCGATGCGTCTGCGTTTCGGGTCTGGGGATCTCGGGCGTTTATCCGCGACTTGTCTGCGGACAAGCTGTCCCCCCGTGCTGTTCCCTGCGTCTTCCTTGGCTTCCCCACTGACGCGCCTGGTTGGCAATTTTACCACCCCACCTCGCGCCGTGTTCTGTCCTCCCAGGACGTCACCTTTGACGAGTCGGTGCCTTGCTACCGTCTCTTCCCCTACCGCACTGCGCCCCTCCCCCCGCCGCCGCTCTTCCTTGCGCCAAGTCCTCCCCCGGTAGACCCCCTCCCCCCTCAGGGTCCTGCCCCGTCAGGTGTGTCCCAGGAAGACGCAGTCGAGCCTGTCGAGGTAGCTGTTGACTTTGGTACTGCTAGAGGTGCTGAGCCTGCGGGTGCCGGGTTTGGAGGTGCTGAGCCTGAGGGTGCGGAGCCTGGGGGTGCTCAGTCCAGGGGTGCGGAGCCTGGGGGTGCTGCGTCTGGGGGTGCTGAGCCTGGGGGTGCTGAGCCTAGGGGTGCGGAGCCTGGGGGTGCTGAGCTTGGGGGTGCTGAGTCTGGGGGTGCTGAGCCTGGGGGTGCTGAGCCTGGGGGTGCAGAGCGTGGGGGTGCTGGGTCTACACGTGTGGCCTCTCGCGGTGCTTCTTCGAGGCGGGAGCCACTCTCTCGGCAGGAGGTGCGCGAGTGGTTTGCCCGGCGCTGGAGCCGTGCTGCTGGAGCTGGAGGTGCTACTGTTGCTGCTGGTCCCGGAGGTGCTCGTACTGGCGGTTCTGGAGCTGCTGGGACTGGGGGTGCTGCTGGGGCTGCTGGAGTTGGTGCTGCTGGAGCAGCTGGAGCTGGAGCTGCTGGGGTTGTTGGCGCTGGTGGTCCTACTGGCGCTGGTACGTCTGAGGGTGTTGGAGTTGGCGGTGTTGGAGCTGGAGGTGCTGCTGGCGCTGGTGCTGCCGCTGGGGGTACTGGTGCCGTCCCTGCTGGTTCTGGAGGCGCTGCACGGCCGAGGCCGTACTTCGTTCCGCTCCTTGAGCAGGTTCTTGGTCTCCCGCCTTCTACTGGTCCTGCTCCTCCCTTAGAGTGTCCTTAGCCTGTCCAGTCGCAGTCACAGTTACAGCCCGCCTCCCCCCTGCCTGCTCCTTCTTCCTACACTGGTCCTACTGGAGGTCTTGCTGAGCGTCGTGAGCCTGCGTCTCGTCCTGTGTCGCCTGTTCGTGCTGCTCGCACTAGTCGTCGTGCTCCGCGTCCGCGTCCTCCTGCGGTCCCAGGCACACACCAGATGGCACTGCGTCCTTCCACTGCTCCTCTGCGTGTCCCGTTGCCGTCTCCTCCAGAGTCCTCTCTTCCTGTTCTTGCTGACCCGGAGTCTTACTCTCTTCATGCTGCCGATCCTACTATCACGCGTTTCTTGGCTACTGTTGTCACTGACCCTTCCTTTGAGTCCACTGCTGCGTCGGCCCTAGTCGCTGAGCTTGTCGACTTTGCTGCTCGCTGTCGTCTAGACTACGCTGCTAGTCTTGTTGCTGAGTCTGAGTCTGTCTGTCCTCCGTCCGTCGGGGGTGAGTGTGCTCTTAGCACGGACGTCCTTGAGGACAGGCATGAGGAGTTCCAGTGTTTTGCTGCCGCTTTGCCTCGTCTCGTGTCCACGATGATTGCCCCTGAGGGAGACCCGTATGCACCAGACATCCCGACTCCTCGATCGTACGCTGAGGCAATCGAGGGTCCCTACTCCTCTCAGTGGCAGTCAGCCATGGACGCAAAGATGGCTTCCTGGAAGTCCACAGGCACCTACGTCGACGAGGTTCCCCCACCTGGGGCGAACATCGTCAGTGGCATGTGGATTTTCAGGGTGAAGCGGCTGCCGGGTTCTCCGCCTGTCTTCAAGGCGCGTTATGTGGCTCGAGGCTTCAGTCAGCGGCAGGGAGTTGACTACTTTCAGACCTTCTCTCCCACCCCGAAGATGACCACTCTTTGGGTGCTGCTGCACATAGCCGCTCAGCGTGACTACGAGCTTCACTCTCTTGACTTCAGCACAGCTTTCCTGCAGGGCAGCCTGCACGAGGAGATCTGGCTGCGCCGCCCACCTGGCTTCACTGGGTCGTTTCCTCCTGGTACCCAGTGGAGCCTCCGGCGGCCAGTCTACGGTCTCCGACAGGCGCCCCGTGAGTGGCATGACACACTGAGGAATACACTTGCGGCTCTTGGGTTTGCTCCTTCTACTGCCGACCCGTCGCTGTTTCTACGCACCGACACCACTTTGCCGCCGTTCTACATCCTCGTATACGTCGACGACTTGGTCTTTGCCATTGCTGACACTGCTGGACTTGCCCACGTGAAATCCGAGCTGTAGAAGAGACACACGTGCACAGACCTGGGTGAACTGCGCAGCTACCTTGGCTTGCAGATCACCCGGGACAGAGCACAGCGCACCATTACCTTGACTCAGTCACACATGGTGCAGCAGGCCCTTCAGCGCTTCGACTTCACGTACTCCTCGCCTCAGGCCACTCCTCTGTCTACTCGCCACTCGCTCTCAGCTCTGCCTTCGGATGAGTCCGTAGAGCCGAGAGGCCCGTACCCAGAGCTTGTTGGCTGCCTCATGTACCTGATGACCTGCACACGACCTGACCTTGCATACCCTCTCAACATCTTGGCACGCTATGTTGCTCCTGGGAGACACCGACCAGAGCACATGGCTGCAGCCAAGAGGGTGTTGTGCTACTTGTGCAGTACGTCGGGCATGGGGCTAATGCTTGGAGAGCGACGTCGAGTGGTCCTCACAGGTCATGCTGATGCTTCTTGGGCTGACGACCAGGCTACGCAGCGGTCGTCACAGGGTTACACCTTCAGCCTTGGCTCCGGCTCTGTTTCGTGGCGGTCTACCTGCTCGTCTTCTGTTCTCACCTCCAGCTGTGAGGCTGAGATCTACGCGGGGGCCATGGCTGCACAGGAGCTACGCTGGCTCACCTACCTGCTGACTGACCTAGGAGAGGCGCCTCGTTCTCCTCCAGTTCTGTACGTAGACAACAAGGCCATGCTGGCCTTGTGTCGGGAGCACAGACTGGAGCACAGAACGAAGCACATTGCTCTCCGCTACTTCCTTGCTCGTGAGCTGCAGCAGCGTGGTCAGCTGCGCCTTGCTTACGTGGCCTCTGAGGCCAACACTTCTGATATCTTTACCAAGGCACTTCCGCCTGGTGATCATCAGCACTTCTGTACTATGCTAGGTCTTGTGCCTACTTGGCCTCACTTGCTCACTTCTTGACCTTGCTTGTACTGTGATCTTTCTATACCTGCACTTGCTTGTTTACCTTTATATATTATCTTGTATGTGAACTGGCCTTGTGGCCTTGCTCTTGTGCTCGGATTGTGTGGTGACGTTGTGATCCACCCTGAGCTTGCTTTGTTTTGCTTGACTGGTCTTGTGACCTCTTGTTCTCCCCCACTTTGCCTATGGGGGTGTGTCAAACTTATATCATATAGCTTGTCTAGGCTATAGTGGGGTAGACACTATGGGGTACAGTTTCCTCGGGTTTCCTACTTGTACCCAACCTTGTGCTAGTTCATTCATTCCTCATTCTTCACAGACTAGTATCATCAAACCCTATATTCATCACGACTGGATGCATGGCAGACCTGCATAGACACGAACCACAAACTCTGATGCACGGTGGGGAACAAAGAATGCACGGAGGCAGAAAATGAGCAAGGGAGACACAGAGGAAGGGCGGATGAGATGATGGGCGGATGAGATGATGGGGGGATGAGATGATGGGCGGATGAGATGATGGGGCGATGAGATGATGGGGGGATGAGATGATGGGGGGATGAGATGATGGGGGGATGAGATGATGGGCGGATGAGATGATGGGCGGATGAGATGATGGGGGGATGAGAAGATGGGGGGATGAGATGATGGGGGGATGAGATGATGGGCGGATGAGATGATGGGGGGATGAGATGATGGGCGGATGAGATGATGGAGGGATGTGATGATGGGGGGATGAGATGATGGGGGGATGAGATGATGGGGGGATGAGATGATGGGGGGATGAGATGATGGGCGGATGAGATGATGGGGGGATGAGATGATGGGGGGATGAGATGATGGGGGGATGAGATGATGGGGGGATGAGATGATGGGGGGATGAGATGATGGGCGGATGCGATGAAGGGAGGACGGGAGGAAGGGAGGACGGGAGGAAGGGAGGACGGGCAACAGAGAGGGTAAAGAGGGTAGTGAGGCAAAGAGATGGAGGAAGGGAGGAAGGGAGAGGGAGAGGAGGACGGCTGAGGGGGAACGACGGAACGGAGTAAGGGAGGAGGGCAAGAGGTAAAAGTGTGGCAGGGTATAAGGGGGATAGGAGGATCCCTGCACCCTCTCTCCCTCATCCCCGCCTCCCCCGCTCCCCTAACCCGCCCCCTGCAGCACTGCACTCCTTGCTGCCCGCCTGCGCGCGCTGCTCTGGCTGTGCCCCCAACACTCTGCTCCAAAGCCTCATCACCACCTGCCATGCGTGCGGGGTTGGTGCGAGAGAGGAGAGGAGGTCAGTGCAAGAGAGAAAAGGGTGGGTGCTGCTGACCACGCACCCTTCCACACCCCACAGCGAACGAGTCACGACCCCTTTCCCAGCTCCCAGCCCAGCCCGCCATACCTCCCCGCCCAGGGTGGGTGAGAGGCTGATGGGGAGGGAGAATGAGAAGAAGGAAATAAGGGTGCAAGGGTGGGGTGGTCACCATGGGCGATGGTAGGAGTAGAGAAGGTGGTAATAGGGGAGGAGTACAACGACTACCCTAAATGCGATGGGAAGGGATGAGAGGGTGGAGACGCGATGGTGAAGAGGGGGAACGTGATAGGCAGGGGAGTGATGACGACGTGGAGAGAGGTGGGAGAGAAGGGAGGTCGACGGTGGGAGGAAGAGGACGACGGTGGGAGGAAGCGTGGCTGATGAGAGGGGAAGCGTGGGAGAAGGTAGGGGGAAGCGTGAGCGACGATGGGTGGGAGCGTAAGCGACAGTGGGGGAAAGCGAGGGCGACGGTGAAGGTGGTGACGGGAGGGGGAGCATGGGCAACGACGGAATGAAGTGTGAGCGACAGCAGGAGGAAGCGTAGGCGACGGTGGGGCGAAGCGTGGGGGACGCGGAAAACTGTCAGAATGTTATCTTATGCTCTAGCCTGTAGTGGGGTGCTCTATAGCGAGTACAACCCTTCTAGGGTTTGCTATTTGTATCCCCATTCTTGCTAGTGCAACCCCTCTTCTCTCTTCTAAACTTTCACATGGTATCAGAGCAGGTCGATCCCCTTGGATCGATCCTGTGGGTGGGTTACCACCTCCTCGCTTCCGCTGCAACTACCTTTCACTACTCTCTGAGCCGCACGCCCCCTGGCGTGCGGCACTTTTTCTTCCCGCCGTGCGCCCCGAGGCGCGCGGCGGTTTTCTGCCCGCCGTGCGCCCCGAGGCGCGCGGCGGTTTTCTGCCCGCCGTGCGCCCCGAGGCGCGCGGCGGTTCTCTGCCCGCTGTGCGCCCCGAGGCGCGCGGCGGGCTTCTGCCCCGTCGTTCGCCGCGTCGCCTTCTGGAGGCGCCGCGACGGGCGACGGGGACCCGTCGCGGCGCACCGAGGGCACGCGCCTCAGCCCCGTCGCCCTACCTGCGCCCCGGCCCCGGCCCCTACCTGCGCCCCGGCCCCATCGCCCTACCTGCGCCCCGGCCCCGGCCCCGCCTGCGGCCCCTTTTCCCGTCGCCTGTCGAGGCGACCCTCGGGGGCGGGCGAGCGCCGCCCCTTCTGCTGCCTGTCTTGGCGCCCTGGGAGGCCGCGCGTCGGTCTCCCCCCCCCCCCCCCCCCCCTCCTCCCCCGTAACCTCCCTACCCGCCATCCCGCCCTGCCTGTGTTAGGGTTTGGGGAGTGGCGAGTAGGGGGTGGCGAGTATGGGGGTGGCACTTCTGCATTCCTCCCTTTGCTCCTCCTCCTCCTTTGTCTCCCACTGCTGCAGCTGTCGCTGAGGGGGGTGGATGTGTGGGAGACTGGGGTTTAGGGTTTAAGGGGGGTGCGTGGGAGTGGAGCTAGCGGTGTAGCAGCGGGTGTGTGCCAGGGGGAGTGGGATAGTTTGGGGAAGCTGTATGGAGGTTGCCGTCGTGTCGCCAGCAGCACCTGTATTCCGGGGACTTCGTCCGGTAGCCCAGTCGTAGCCAGCTGTGCCAGCCGCCCGTGGGTCTGTTGCTCGTCTGCCGCTACTTTAGCCGCGGGGCCTGTTACTCCTGTATTCCGGGGACTTCGTCCGGTAGCCGCTGTGCCAGTCTGCCTCCTGTTGCCAGTATGTCTGCAGCTTCAGCCGTCGCCTCCTATCTCCTCTCCTCTCACTCTCTCTCCTCCTCCTCGCTTGCCCGTTGTGACTACCACTAGCTTTGCTCATAATTGTACCCTTTAAACTATTGCTTCTTGAACTTGTGCTCAGAATGTGTGGTGACATTGTGATCCACCCTGAGCTTGTACTGCTTTGCTTGCTCTGCTTATTACACCCCACTTTGGCTATGGGGGTGTGTCAGAATGTTATCTTATGCTCTAGCCTGTAGTGGGGTGCTCTATAGCGAGTACAACCCTTCTAGGGTTTGCTATTTGTATCCCCTCTTCTCTCTTCTAAACTTTCACAAAAACGATAGACAACATAGGAGGAGAGCGATCGGAGACGTAAAAGTAGCGACATCGGGCATGGCGACGTCGACGAGAGGAAGCGTGGGTGACGGGACGTGACGTCGACGAAGAAGCGCGGGAGTGGGCATAAAGCTGAGGCAAACATAGGGCGAATGCGCAGGAAATGACAGCGATCGCAAGTACGATTCTTATCGACCTCGGAGAGGGAGATGCATGCGCCGCAAACTGGCGTTTGCGCGGTCGCGCAGGGTTTCGACGACGACGCTGAGTAATAAGCGGGCCCATCGCAACACTCTGATCATCATACAGAATTGGTTTCTCCGTCTTATTTTTTTGTGGAGTGGCCTCCGGCTTTATTGGCTCCTCTGTTCTACCTAAGAGTGCGTGCGTGCGTAAGTGTCTTAGCTTGACCTGAATTACAACTATTTTCAAACTGTCAACAGCCCAGCTCTATTCCCTTGGGGAGAGAGCGGTTGGGACTCTCGCCAACCAGACCTGTGCTGCTCTACGACTCCCTGCTTTTTTGCGTGGTGTTTTTTGGTAACCAGAGAGGCTCGGGAAGTCAAATGTGGGCTCGGGAGGCAAACTGTGCACAGTTTGCCTTCTTTTTTTTTGTAATTCAGGTCCTGGGCTTTAAGGGTGCTACCGATCAAGCACCATGTGTGAATGTACCAGGTGAATACGCGTCCACTTCATCAGTCGTTAGGGGGGTCCAGCTCGTGCATTTACTGTTCGTAAACCCCCTCAGTTACCACATTTTTGTGGTAACCCTTTATTGAATGTGTCCAGCGGACACAATCAGCTTCTGTTCGCAAGACGGCACGCCCCATGCACGTACCTAGAGTCGTCTGACTCACGTTAATGGAATCAGCAGGGACGCGGACAAGGGTACAGCACCGCGTCCTGGCCACTACAGTTCGTTTCCCTTGTATCGCTTGCACGATTTCGTCAGTGGTTCGCTCTACTCGCCAGCGCCCCCTGCGCCTGCACAAAAAATTTCAAGCTATGATTGACGAGGAAAACTGTTACCTCGTTTTCAACGTGGTCAGAGCACTGTTGATTCGTGTGGCGGGGAATGTGTCCGCGCTTCTGAAATTACAGGATGGTTGGACTCCACTCACAATGCATTCGTTTCTAGGTACGGTAGTTATTTTTGAACCTCGATACGTGCGTTGGCACGAAAAATCCCGAAATGAACGAACTGGACACGCCCTTACGTTACATCCGTAAACTAACAACTCAACTGAACTTCAGCTGCTACAAGAACATGGGTGTCAACTTACGCTGTACAGTCCACTGCGTGTAATCTTTATATGTGCGCGTTGGACAGCATTTGAACGCAACGCGTAAATCCTCCACAACAGTGATCCGTAAATTTCCTTACCTACTGTGCTTCGCTCCAGCCTCAGTTTCTAGGTAGTGACAGATTCTAGGTGAGGTCGGTGGTGTATCACTGTGTAATACCGTATTGAAGCTCTGCCCTATGTAATCACCGCATCTACGCTTTTCCTGCTACTAGTTCACGGGTTTCTCGGTTTTCCTTATCGTTTTATTTCCGTAATAACCGCTTAGCTGCCTAGACGTGACGCATACGCGTGTCGACGCTTCTCGGTGAGCCGGTAGAGACACTCGTCATTCGCTTCTCGCTTCTATGTGAGACTTTCCGTCACTCGTCGCCCCGCTCGGCGGTTGTTGTTTTTTTCAGTTGTTGGAGATTATCGGAATTTGGCGACTTGAATAGGCGAAATCTTTTCGTTCAACTTAGTTACACCATGTCGTGGGCTGGAGGCACGGACTCGCAGTCCCTCGCGTTTCTCTGCGCGAGCATGAACGATCCGATGGCTGCCCTAGCGGCGCTCGATCAACAACACAATCAGCAGCAGCAGCAGCAGCAGCAGCAGCAGCAGCACCAACAACAACAGCAGCAGCAGCAGCAGCAGCAGCAGCAGCAGCAGCAGCAGCAGCAGCAGCAGCAGCAGCAGCAGCAGCAGCAGCAGCAGCAGCAGCAGCAGCAGCAGCAGCACCAGCACCAACAACAACAGCAGCAGCAGCAGCAGCAACGCGCGGCGTCCTTTGCGGGAGGAAACCGTCGATCTTTGTCGGGTTCGCCTGTAGAAGCTATTGCCACGTCAGCAGCACCTGATGTACATAATTCTTTAGGGTTAGGAGCCGCCGGTTCGGGCTCTAGTCGGTCCGTCCGTGTTGATCTTCTCCAGTCGAATGGATTAGGTTTGGTGCCGAACCTGGCTGCAGGTTTGGGGCCGAGCCTAATGGCTGGCGCGGCAGGTGCCTGTGTCAACGATTTGTTGGGCATGGACGACGCGAGTCTAGCTGCAGCGGTAGCTTCGGGGAAGATTCCACTCAGGAGCAGCGGAAATCCCGTTGCGAGCACCAATGCTGCTGGCACCGCGGCGGCGGCGGCTACAGCCGCTACAGCCGCGATGCGGAGCGCGCTTGCTAGCAGCGCTACTGCGCGTCGTAGCGGGCTCGGGGGAGGGGCAGGGGGAGCTCTGTCGGGCGCGCGGGGAGGAATGGGCGCAGTCGCGCTGCTGAACGGGGACGGGGGAAGGTTCGATGTCGGAGGGGCGCAGCAGCAGGCGGAGTTTCTCCTGGCTGGGGGGGCGGCGGCGCAGCAGGCGGATTTCCGCATGGGCGGGGGGGCGGCGCAGCAGCAGCAGCAGCAGGCGGAGTTTCTGATGGGCGGAAGGGCGGCTGCGCAGCAGCAGGGGGATTTCCGAATGGGCGGGGGCGCAGCGGCGCAGCAGCAGGCGGACTTTCTCCTGCTGCAAGAGCTGGCGGGACAGCAGGCGGCATTGCTGGGGGGACCGCAACTAGCGGGGGGATTCCCCGGAGGTACGCGCGCGTGAGAGTGACAAGTAGCTTTTGTGTGAAGGAGGTACGCGCTCTCTTTGAGGGCGCCTTTCAGGTTCGGGTCATGCACTGTTTGGGTCATCCGAGATTCTTGGAAGACCAATCAGGCGCATTTTAGTTACACTACTCGAATACCATTGGTCCTCCCATGACCCAAAGTGTACTGATGACCCAAACAGTGCCTAATGACCCGAACCTGAAAGACGCCCTGAGTGAGAGTCTTTGAAGTGCCTAAGAGTCTTCTCAGGCAGTACGCATGAGAGCGAATTGGAGCTTCCGTGTGGGGCAATTTCGAAGCGCCTATGTTTTTTCCCAAGATGTACGTGAGAGTAGATCCTAGCTACTGTATGGAGTGGTTCTCTAAGCGCCTGTACCATTTACCAGGAGGTACGTGAGAGTAATTCGCAGATTTTTAAAAGAACGAATGTGAGGCTCAGGCGATTTTCTAAGCGTGTTTGGAATGTAGTGGGTTTCCGTGTTGGTGGTTTCATTTGCCAGCTAGGTGCCCCTTATTTTGGATACACAGACGTCGCACCCCTTCCCACCTCCCTCTTCTCCTCCCCCGCCTCCTCTCCACGCACCCCTCCCCACCTCCCTCTTCTCCTCCCCCGCCTCCTCTCCACGCACCCCTCCCCACCTCCCTCCTCTCCTCTTCCGCCGGCCTTCAGTCGACATCTCCGCGTTTTACGGCGGGGGCGGGGAGGCGGCGCGCGCGTCGATGGCGGAGATGGAGGCGAAGGCGCTGGCGCAGTCGCGCTCGCACAGCGAGGCGGAGCGGCGGCGACGGGAGCGCATTAACCAGCACCTCGCGACGCTGCGCGCGCTCCTTCCTAGTTCTAGCAAGGTGAGGGTCTACTGAGTCACCGCCTCCCCCTCCCGCCTCTCTCCACCTCCTTCACCTCGTGACGCTACGCGCGCTGCTTCCTAGTTCTAGCAAGGCGGAGAGGCGATGGGGCGGAGGGGCGGAGGGGCGGAGAGGCGGAGAGGCGGAGAGGCGGAGAGGCTGGCGGATTCTCTAGCCTCATCATTCCATCCAACCCATTCCTCCTTTGAGAATTCTCAAAAGTGATTTCAATACAGCCGGAGTGGCCGAGAGGCAGGCGGGCGGATTCCCTAGCCTCATTGTTCAAACCAACCCATTCCTCCGCTCCTTTCCCCGCTTCCCTACCCATCCCCCGTTCCTTCACCTGTCCAGGCGGACAAGGCGACACTGCTAGGCGAGGTATTAGACGTGCTGCGAGCGCTGCACGCGGAAAGACATGTTTCCCCACCACCTACTATCCCTCCACCCCCCTTCTCCCCGCTTCCCCCTGTCCAGACGGACTAGGCGCCGCTGCTAGGCGAGGTGGTGGACGTGCTGCGAGCGCTGCACGCGGAGAGAGAGAGGGAGAGAGACATGTTTGCATGTCTGTACCTGCTTGGATCTAATACACGGACCGCTTGAGAGGGAGAGAGACATGTTTGCATGTCTGTACCTGCTTGGATCTAATACACGGACCGCTTGAGAGGGAGAGAGACATGTTTGCATGTCTGTACCTGCTTGGATCTAATACACGGACCGCTTGAGAGGGAGAGAGACATGTTTGCATGTCTGTACCTGCTTGGATCTAATACACGGACCGCTTGAGAGGGAGAGAGACATGTTTGCATGTCTGTACCTGCTTGGATCTAATACACGGACCGCTTGAGAGGGAGAGAGACATGTTTGCATGTCTGTACCTGCTTGGATCTAATACACGGACCGCTTGAGAGGGAGAGAGACATGTTTGCATGTCTGTACCTGCTTGGATCTAATACACGGACCGCTTGAGAGGGAGAGAGACATGTTTGCATGTCTGTACCTGCTTGGATCTAATACACGGACCGCTTGAGAGGGAGAGAGACATGTTTGCATGTCTGTACCTGCTTGGATCTAATACACGGACCGCTTGAGAGGGAGAGAGACATGTTTGCATGTCTGTACCTGCTTGGATCTAATACACGGACCGCTTGAGAGGGAGAGAGACATGTTTGCATGTCTGTACCTGCTTGGATCTAATACACGGACCGCTTGAGAGGGAGAGAGACATGTTTGCATGTCTGTACCTGCTTGGATCTAATACACGGACCGCTTGAGAGGGAGAGAGACATGTTTGCATGTCTGTACCTGCTTGGATCTAATACACGGACCGCTTGAGAGGGAGAGAGACATGTTTGCATGTCTGTACCTGCTTGGATCTAATACACGGACCGCTTGCACTCCCCAACTCCCCACTTTCCTGTGTTCGTGCCTCTTCCATTCAGACGGACAAAGCAACACTCCTAGGAGAGGTGGTGGACGTGCTGCGGGCGCTGCACGCGGAGAGACGTGAAAGACAGAGTTCTCACAACCGCCCATGCCCTACCCCGCCCCTCCCCTGTTACCCCCCCCCCCCCCCCCCCCTGCTCCTCCCCCTATCCAGACGGACAAAGCAACCCTTCTAGGAGAGGTGGTGGACGTGCTACGGGCGCTGCACGCGGAGAGGGAGAGGCGTGTGCAGGGCACTTTATCCCCCTTCCCCCTGCTCCACCCGCCTTCCGCCCCCTCTTCTCCCCCCCATTCAGACGGGTTGATGTTGATAGGCGAGGGCTGCACGCGGAGAGGGAGAGGCGTGTGCAGGGCATTTTATCCCCTTCCCCCTGCTCCCTACCCTCATTCCTTACCCCGCTACTCCGCCCCCCCCTCCAGACGGATAAAGCAACATTACTGGGCGAGGTTGTAGACGTGCTGCGGGCGCTGCACGCGGAGAGGCATGCGGAGGGGGAGGGGGAGGCGGAAGGGGAGGCGGGGGCGGGGGGAGGGATGGGGGGGAAGGGGTTCAGTGCGGTACCGAGGGATGTGGATGTTTTAGAGGTGGAGGAGGTGGTGGGGACGGTGGGGGAGGAGGGGGTGAGAGAGGGCGGTGGGGCGGTTAGGGGGGAAGGCGGGGAAGGGGGAGGAGAGGGGGAAGGGGGGGAGGGGGTGGAAGGTCGTGGAGAGGGGAGTGGCGGAGGGCGGAGAAAGGGTGGGGGAAAGAGGGGGGGGAGCTGTGAGGGTGGGGAGGAGGGCGGAGGGAGGAAGAGGAGGAAAGGGGAGTGCAGGGAGGAGGGGGGTGGTGGTGGGGGAGGAGAAGGGGAAGGGGGGGCGGGAGAGGGAGAGGGGGGAGGAGGAGAGGAGCTGATTCGGTTTGTGGTATCGTGTGAAGATCATCCCGACCTGCTGGCATCACTCAAGAAAGCGATTGATGTGAGTGTGATTATGACAAGGGTGGGTGTGACTGTGGCGAGGGTGGGGCTTGTGTGACTATGGTGGTTGTGAAATTGCACATGACTTGGTTTGTGGTATCGTGTGAGGATCATCCTGACCTGCTGGCATTACTCAAGAAAGCGATAAATGTGAGTGTGATTGTGAGGAGGGTGACTGTGTGTGTGAGGAGGGTGACTGAGTGTGTGAGGAGGGTGACTGTGAGTGTGACCGAGTCACCCACCAGATGCTTCTCTCCCGAGAACCTCCTTCCCCTGAAACTGACGAGTCTCCACACTGCACCTTTCTGTCCCCTGCTCCACCTCGTATGTCCGCCCCTACCACACAGGTCCTTCGTCTGCATGTGCGAGCACTGGAAACGGCCTCTTGCAGCAACCGAGTCACCCATCAGATGCTGCTCTCCCAAGACCCTCCTCCCCCTGTAACCAATGATCTCTCATACCCTTCCCTCCCCTGCTCCTCCCCATATGTATGTCCGTCTGCCCATACACAGGTGCTTCGCCTGCACGTGCGAGCACTGGAAACAGCCTCCTGCAGCAACCGAGTCACCCATCAAATGCTCCTCTCTAGGGACCCTCCTCCCGAGTCAGACGAGCCGCTGCATTCCTCCCGCCCCTCCTCTCTCTCCCCACTCCCCTCCTCCTCCCATTCTGCCTCTGCTGGTGGTAGCAGCCCGCTCAATTCGGGGGGGTTGGGAGCGGTGGAGGGGGGTGGGAGCAGCCGCAGCAGGGAGAGGGAGAGGGAGAGAGAGAGGGAGAAATGTGGGGCAGATTGGAGGAAGAAGGGCAGGAAAGAGCCTACGGTGGAAGTTATCCGGGCAGCTTTGCGGGCAGCTGTTGAGAGGGCCCGGGCAGCAGCGGCCGTGACTGGTGCTGTGGCTGGTAGTTTGCCTGGTGTTGGGGAGGGTTTAACTGACGCTAAAATATCTCCTGATTCTACCCCTGCTGCTATTGCTGCCACTGCTGCTGATGTAGCTGCTGCCGCTGGCATTGTTGCTAACGGCAATGCTGCTGTTGCTGTTGCTTCTGCTGCTGCGGCGGCAGCAGTGACACCTGGTGCTGGTGTTGATGCGGTTAGGGGCGGTGATGGTGGTAGGGGCATTGGTGAGGGTGGTGGGATGCATCTGTGGGAAGGAGGAGGAGGGGAAGAAGGGGAAGTAAGGGAAGGTAAGGAAGGTAAGGAAGGGCAGGAAGGGCAGGGAGTGTGTGAGAAGGGGAGACAACAGGATCAGCAAGAGCAGCAGCACCAGATGCAGCAGCAGGAGCAACATCATCACTTGCATCAGCAGCAGCAACAGCAGTTGGGGGAAGAGGAGCAGACAGAGACTCGTGTGAATTCTCTGATTCGGCTGCAGCAGCTGCAGATGCAGCAGCGGTTTCAGCAGCACCAGCAGATGCTCCTGCGGCGGAAGCAGCAGCAGCAGCAACAACAACAACAACAGCAGCAGCAACAGCAGCAGCAGTCTTTGGACTCTCTTTCAAAATCCTTTTGAGTTTCTGCACACACTTGCACAAGACATCATCCCCCTGCTGATGTCACTGGCTCCCCTCAGTTCGTCAGAGTTACATGGCAGCATTGTTCGTACTTAATTCTTCAAGCAATGGAATGTCTGACCTTGGCAGAAGAAGGATTGACATTATGTGCTTTATGTAGCGATTGTGCAATCCACTCTGGTTTGGTTGGGGTTGGGTCTCCCTGAGTGCAAGGGCTGGGTAAGTGTAAGGAATTTTCTCGGCATTCCTTACGGAGTCCGACTACATCGCGTACAGCAACAGCCGCTGTTCAGCCGTTGCTTCGCCAACTTCGCGCGCACTGTTTTGCCAAACCTCGCACTGCTGGCCCGGCCGCGTCGGCCTACGCTTCAGGACTAGCCCGAGCCTCGCTGCTGTTGGGCTGAGAAAAGCCCTTAGAATCTTTTGCAGGGGTGAACTTTGGGTAGGACTGATGTAATAGCGGAAGCTTAATGAAAAGTATTTGAACCACCTTGCGCTAGTATGTGAGGGCAAAGTTGATTGATTAAAACAAAGAGATACAAGATTATATAAGGGTACAAGGAATATGAAGGGGTACAGTTATAACTGTTTTACTGTTGCTCTTGCGATTCGATACAGTGGCGACTCGAGCAACTGCTCTGTAGCGAGTCAGTTGTGTGTCCTTGCTGTCGCGCTGTACTTGTCAGGTCAAAAGTCGCTGACCTTTGACTTTCGCGTAACCTCCAACAGTTACTTTCAACCTCCGAGGGTTGACTGGCCGGTACTTCGGCATGTTTTGCTTCGTTTGTGCCTTAGTGTTTCGACACGACAGAGGCGCTTAAGATCGATTGTTTCCAACACTCCTCTTCGCTTCTGGAGTGTCGCTGCTGGTGACGTGGCTCTGTCCAGTTCGCAGCATGCAGTACTCGAACTTCTGCTTTCCGAGCTTCTTGGTCAAGTAATCGGCTGCCATCTCGGATGTGGGGAAGTATGACAGTTCGAGTCTCCCCTTCTCGATCTCGTCCTTCACGCAGAAATATCGCAGGGTGATGTGTTTCGTCGTGTTCGCGAAGCCGTTCTTGTTGGCGATGCGAATTGCTGACTGGTTGTCGCAGAACAGGGTGAAGCTGGGTAACTGAGCTAGCTTCGCTTCTTCAAGGAGTTCGCGAAGGTAGAGTCCTTCCTTGGTGGCTGAGCAGAGTGCTATATATTCTGCTTCAGCTGAGGAGAGCACGATTAATTCCTGTTTGCTCGACTGCCAGGAGATAGGTCCGATAGGTTCGAGACGGTAGACGTAGCCGGTGCGGGAGCGCCTGTTGTCGGAGTCGCCAGCGTGATCGGCGTCGACGTAGCCGATTAACTTAGGCGGTGTAGTTGCGTTCTTGTAGTAAGTTAGGCCGATCGTCGGGGTGCTGACGAGGTAGTGAAGAGCGCGGTCGAGCTTCGCCAGATGTTCCGCTTCAGGCTTCTTGAGGTAGGTGGCGAGCTGACTTGCAGAGTACGATAGGTCCGGGCGGCAGGTGACAGCTGCGAAAAGGAGGCAACCCAGTTTCCTCTGGTAGTCACGTATGCCGGCGGGCTTAAGTAGAGCGG